ATGCAGCCTCGCTCGGAAGAGAACCGACACCACCTTCCCCAAAGTGGAGGACTAGTCCTGCTAGAGACTGCTGCAGGGAACCTATCTCCTGGAGTTTCGGAATGAGCATGTTTTCAAGGAGGACCGAAACTGTATGTGATTTTCCCGAGCCTTGCACTCCGCACACTACAGCGGTGAATGGCGTATTCTGGAGAGCTCGTGAGATACACAGGCGAAATGTTCAGAAAGACTCACTGTGTTGACATAGAGTCTAGGATCTACAGGGACGTAGGCACTCGATTTCGAACTTGGCACCGAACATGAATATTAGGGACACAGAAAGAGAGAAACGACCTACTATATTGACAACACTTGACCCATCACTCCATATGGTGTGGAATGTTTCTTGTATCCAGCAGTGATATACGCTTCTCTTGTAATGAGAGGCGCGGCCTGTAGTTCGTGGTCCTTACTGAGGTCTGACGCGTCTACTGTCAAACTCCGGAGGTGCTTCAACTCCACCTGCATCGATGAGAAGCAGAAAGCCGACAGGTATGGGAAGAACAAACTTTGGCAGCTTTCACTTTGTCAAGGTCATAAATAGGCTCGTTGATTGCTTCTGCGGGTTCTACTTGAGGTTTAATGTTATCTTCCTTTGCCTGTCAAGATATTAAGTTGCATAAATTCTCAAGGTCCAACCCGTACATACCACAAGGGGCGCCTCGGTGTTGGCCGACTTCTCTGCTTTTGGTGAGAGGGTCGTTCCGGAGCTCGACCTATCAGTCCTCGAAGAGAGCTAAGAAATTTACAGTATCAGTTAACAAATTAATTTTCACAATAGTGTAGTTCGTTACATTAGTCCTGAACGTAAACGGAGCTGGTTTTGTCGATGTTGAAGTCTTGCGAATGGTCGAGGCCACACCGGATGCAAGCGGAGGTTGCTTGGAAGGCTGACGGGCAGCAGGTTTCCGCGATGTTACCTTGCCTGCCTTGCTCGTGGTAGCTGTTGCACTCGGAGGCAGGGCCGATCCAGAATTTCCGCCAGAAAACTGTAAGACCCGTTGGCGGAGCTACATTCAAATAAGTCTCAACCAGCACGCACCACGAACTAAAATCAAAACTGAGTGAGCAAGATAGAACTTCTATGATAAAGCTACCAAAAAAAGATACACTGACCATCGGGCTAGCAAACGTCGAAAAATCCTCAAGACAAAGAGGGAATTTTTGAACAGGGTCGAGGTTAGTCGAATGCAAAGACGCGTTTATATATATCGAATTAGGACACCACGACCCGATCACGTGCTAATTAATTTCCTGAGGTTGACAGCCTAGGCCTCGAGTTAGGCTGAGAAAAAAGCCAAGTGTACTGTGAACGTCTGCCGCGGTACGACGGGCAAACCCCCCAAGAGCTGCTTTCAGTCACGAATGTGGCACAAGCTGACGGGCCGGGTAAGAAAGGATATGATGGTTTATCATAATATAATGATATGTTCGTTTCATTTCAAGACGCGACTAGTACCCGGCGAGAAGATATCATCGTTGCATCACTGTTACTAGCGGCCACGAGGTCACCAGCTTGCTCTTCCCCAAGTCTCCAGGAAAACTTGTAATTGGAAGGATTGGAGAAAACCTCAATTGTCCTCGCATTTGGTTACGCTGATTGACGACCGAAACCGAGGACAATGTGCCCCTGTGAACATGCTGAGAAGCTTCAAGATTTACTATTAATACGGCACCACGTGGTTCACCATCACTCTCGTCACCTCCTCAATGAGCTCACGCCCGTTGTGCCTTCGGCACAAATCGAAGGAGCGCTACGCGCTCCTTCAGGGGAGAAAAATGAGTGTTGTTCCTTCGTCACAGGAAGCCAAGGAGGGCTACGCCCTCCTTTGGCTTCCTGGCCTCAGGCTGCATCCTAATAAATTGTGCATTTTGAATGATTTTGAAATATATTTATGAGCAGCTTTTCAAAAAAACTCAAAGTACAATCTATCACACCACATAAAAGTACATAGTACTACATACAATCAGTCAGTGCTATGTTCTTTGAGCAGGATTTTGACCAATATAAAAATACAAAATATGTAACAGTATCATTGAATGTATTTGTTTTCCCATTTTTCCCTGCTTCCCATCTAGGGATCAGCAGGGGTATGGGAAACCCTTGAGGGTAGGGGTAGGGGTTTGGATCTGAAGACCCCTGTACCCCTGGGAATATACCTCCAAATTGATTACCATAGGAGTGATGGATCAGTATAAAATTTTGAAGTTGTACATGTGCCTTCAAATGGTAATATATGTGATTGGAAAAAATGTTACCATGGGGTATACCCATGCTAATCCCTACTCCCTACTCCCTACTCCCTACTTCCTACTCCTGTCTCCTGTCTCCTGTCTCCTGTCTCCTGTCTCCCGTCTCCTGTCTCCTGTCTCCCATCTCCCGTCTCCCGTCTCCCGTCTCCCGTCTCCCGTCTCCCGTCTCCCGTCTCCCGTCTCCCGTCTCCCGTCTCCCGTCTCCCGTCTCCCGTCTCCCGTCTCCCGTCTCCCGTCTCCCGTCTCCCGTCTCCCGTCTCCCGTCTCCCGTCTCCCGTCTCCCGTCTCCCGTCTCCCGTCTCCCATCTCCCGTCTCCCTTCTCCTGTCTCCCGTCTCCTGTCTCCTGTCTCCCGTCTCCCATCTCCCATCTCCCATCTTCCCAATCTCTCTGTTTCCCATCTCCCAACCTCCTGATCTCTCTGTTTCCCATCTCCCATCCTCCCGATCTCCCTGTTTCCCTGTTTCCCATTTTCCCATCCTCCCCATCTTCTGTTCTCCTATCTCCTCCCATTCTCCCTGTTTCCCATTCCCAATTTTCCTGTCTCCTCACTATCTCCTGTTCTCCAGTTGTCAAGTCTCTACTTTCTCTATTTTTTATTTATTTTTTCACAACCTTTTCTCATTCATTTCCTGTCACCACATATATTTGTTGTCCCCCTGTCTGCAAAATTATATCATGTTGTTCCATTTTCAATTTTATTATTTACTGTATGCATGTAACATAAACAATTACATTACAATAAGGAAAATACTTGTATTGCGTAGTGCGCTGCTCTAATGGGCAAGTGAGTCGGCGCTCGAAAGCCACGCGAGAAAACCACGCGAGATTTCCAAAAACAGGTTTAAGCGAGGTAAGCGAAATACGCGAAATACGCGAAAGCCACGCGAGCGCGCGAACGTTTCCGAAAACCGTCGTACTTTACTTCTTAGACGAGCTCACGCCCGTTGTGCCTTCGGCACAAATCGAAGGAGCGCTACGCGCTCCTTCAGTGGAGGAAAATGAGTGTTGTTCCTTCGTCACAGGAAGCCAAGGAGGGCTACGCCCTCCTTTGGCTTCCTGGCCTCAGGCTGCATCCTAATAAATCGTGCATTTTGAATAAGATCACGCCTTGATAGTGGATTTCGAAAAGAGGTACATTTATGAGCAGCATTTCAAGAAAACTAAAAGTACATAGTACATAAGATCAGTCAGTTCTATATATATAAGTACATCAATCGTTGATACGATCTGTGAGTCCTCTAAGCACTTCTGTATATACTACATTGGTTGTATTTGAGCCTTCTTCATGCTCCGGAAAGATAGCAAACACCCTGTCTGGGTGGGTGCAGCGAGATAAAGCCACATAGAGTTGTCCATGGCTGAATACAGGAGTCCATAAATTAAGGCCAACCCACTTGACGCTTTGACCTTGCGCCTTGTTGATTGTCATAGCGAATGCAAGACGAACAGGAAACTGGCGACGCTTGAGGGGGATTGGGTTCTCTTCAGAGCTGGATTCCATAGTGATGCGAGGGATTAGGACTGTGTTCTCATCGACCTGCTGATCTTCATCGTCTCCATCCCTAAGAACACGGCACCTAAGGACACGGGTGGTCCAAGACAGGAGTATCATGCGAGTTCCATTATAGAGTCCCTGCAAGGGGTTCAAATTGCGCAAAAGCATTAGAGGAACACCTGCTTTGACCTCCAATGTGTGCAAAGGGAAGCCTGATGGGGCGAGGGTATGAAGGAACTCTGGGGGAATGTAATCGTATTCTCTCTCCGTGACTGAGTCTGCACTGGTGAAGACTGCTTTTTCTCCAGGGAATGATTCGAGGATAGTGGCATTGATTTCATCCACATCAGTGTTCTTTGCAGAAAGAATGGTGCGATCCAGGAAGTATGAATCGTTTAAGGGAGGACGATCAGGGAGCAGAATTCTTGAGTATAGGGCATTGATGAGAGACTGGAGGTCATTGTTGGGACACCGCATGCGGGCAGGAAGGGTCACAGTTCCATCTTCATTTGTGCCCCTACCAGCTCCAATCTCAAGAAGCCACCTTGCAAAATCATCAGAAGTGGGATCTTGACCAAGACGCATATTTCTCTTGAGATGGAATATATGAAGCCTTGACCAAATGCGAGATCTGCAAAAGGTAGTGCCCACTATCTGCTCCCTGGATCCATGAGGCACCACCGGCAGGGTCTGTCTGAAGTCTCCTCCAAAGAGCATGGTTATTCCTCCAAAATCAGCATCAACATTCAGAAGATCACGTAATGTGCGGTCAAGGCATTCCAGGATGTGGCGGTGTAACATTGGAATTTCATCACAGATGATTAGGGAAGTGGCCTTGAGAAGCTCATGAAGAATGTCTCCTTTCTTTATGTTGCAAGAGCTGTCTTCATGAATAGGGATAGGGATCTTGAATCGCGAATGAGCTGTACGTCCACCTGGCAGGAGGAGAGAAGCGATTCCGGAGGAAGCCACACATAGGACGATCTTGCCTTCAGCACGGAGTTTTGAAGCGATGAGCTTGCAGAGATATGTCTTGCCACATCCACCTGCACTGTGGACAAAGTATGAATGTCCTGGTCTGCGCTCATCCCGATGCATTGCATCATCGACCACCGTATCAAAGACCGCCCTCTGCTCTTCATTGAGAGAAGGAACTCCTCTATCCACCACCTGCTGAAGCTCTTCTTGGTTGTACTGGAGCTGCTCAGCAATCAACTGGTTGCATCTTCAGGATCATAAATGTAGATTTGAGCATATGAAGGCCGAGTACCTTCAGGGGCAATCAGGCTGCCCATAAGGTGGTGAAGAGAACTGTGTATACGAAAAGCATTTGGGCCAGAGCCTTGAAGGGCCCTATCCTCGATGGTGACGCCTACAGATGTGAATGCAAGAGCACTGTTGTACTGGCGAATCTTGGACACAAATGTTCTGTCTCCATATGCCTGTTGCAGCTCATGTGGCCATGCTGGAAAGGGAGGAAGGTCGACTTTTCCCTCCAAGCAGCATGTACCAAAGCGTGGGTTTCGTGCGGATGATTTGGTGAGTCTCTCACATGCAAAATGCATGGCATGGCAGTTGGGGCACTCCACATTAAGAGGACCAAGAGTGTGACGATCAATGGGCTCTGTGTATGGTCGAGCTCCATCTGGGATAGGGATATTTCGGACCGGCGCCTGGTTGATATTTTCATCATCCTCTGCATCGCGCTGCCGGCGACGTTCTTGCTCCTGAGTTCTTCTTCTTTCCTCGTCGTCTTCATGCTGCTGCTGAGAAGCAGGATTATCATATTCGCGCAATGCCTCTTCAAGACGCTCCTGTTGCTCGTGATCCCTCTGCTCCTGGCGATGTTGTTCCTCTTCTACCTGTTGACCTGCTCGCTGAATATCCTGAGTCTGTCTATCAGCCCGCTCAGCTTCCTGCTGCTGCAATTGCAACTGAATTTGCTGTTGTTCAGCTTCCCACTGCTGTAATTGTAGCTGGATCTGCTGTTGACGAAAAGCCTCCTCCGCTTGTCTCTGCAGCAGATCATTTCTAATGCGCTCATTTTCCATTTGCTGTTCTTGGAAATGATGTCGAAACTGAACATTAAATTGATCATGATCAGGTTCAAGTGGTGCATGTAAAGGTGGGGCAGGATCACATGCAAAGTAGCGGAGGGGATTGTCAATGTTATGTGGACCAACTGCGCCCTCATAATGAACAGCGCCATATACAGGGGGAGCAGGAGGAGCAGGTTGAACAGGTTCATCATCAGGAATGTGAGGCGCCTGTGGAGGCTGCATCCCAGCTGCCATGAGCACTTCTTGCACCTGCTGTCTTATCTCATCTCTGTCTTGTCGCCGACGATGAGCACGTTGACGGCGTCTGTCATTTTGAGCAGCATTCACTCGCTCATTCAAGCGTGCATTGTAATCAATTGGAGGAACATGATGAGCACGCTGCACGTGTGCAATTGCATTTCGTGGCAAGCCAGGATATTGCCCGACTGGTAGTGGCTCATATGGAAAGTGAGGGGGAGGTTGCCAAGCAAAAGGTCGTGGAACGGGTCCTGCTTGTGGCACATTAGCCGGCATGAAATTTGGCTGTGGTGCAGGAGGCAGAGGCCTGTCCTGATTATCATGGGCAGCACGACGACGATTGCGCCTGGTAGGAGAAGTCATTTGAAGTCGATTGAGCCTGTCATGCTCGCGTTGGGAGTGTCGATCACGTTCAGGCGTGATTTGTTCTGGATTTCTAATGTGCAAAATATGAGCATCATGCACATTGCACATAGCAAACAACTCACAGAATAGGTATATATCCATCCATGGTTGTTAAATTCAAACAGTTGTTTAGCGAGTGCAAAAATTTGCCTGAACTGATGAATAAGTTTCTATCATTGTTGATAAGAAATAATACCCACAAAAAGTGTATCACACTTTATTACACTTGGCTGCAGGGAAAGGCAGTTTAACTCGAGAATTCTATTCAAAAGCAGCAGCCAAGTTGTGTAATGATTTGTGTAACCAAAAGTGTAATCAAATTTCTATTATTGCTTTTGTTATTCTCGATGCCTTTCCCATATAGTAGGAAAAGTCTGTTGTTTGTCCGTTGCATTCCCGCGGCGCAGTAGGCGTGAGTAATACTGTCCACTATATCGCATTTGGCAGTATTTTCGGACTTGTAAAAATTTCTCTCAGATTTTTCTTTCACACTTTTTCTTAGATAGTCTTAGTCTTAGTCTTAGCGGGCGCACGCGAGAAAACCACGCGAGATTTCCAAAAACAGGTTTAAGCGAGGTAAGCGAAATACGCGAAATACGCGAAAGCCACGCGAGCGCGCGAACGTTTCCGAAAACCGTTGTACTTTACTTCTTAGACGAGCTCACGCCCGTTGTGCCTTCGGCACAAATCGAAGGAGCGCTACGCGCTCCTTCAGGGGAGAAAAATGAGTGTTGTTCCTTCGTCACAGGAAGCCAAGGAGGGCTACGCCCTCCTTTGGCTTCCTGGCCTCAGGCTGCATCCTAATAAATTGTGCATTTTGAATGATTTTGAAATATATTTATGAGCAGCTTTTCAAAAAAACTCAAAGTACAATCTATCACACCACATAAAAGTACATAGTACTACATACAATCAGTCAGTGCTATGTTCTTTGAGCAGGATTTTGACCAATATAAAAATACAAAATATGTAACAGTATCATTGAATGTATTTGTTTTCCCATTTTTCCCTGCTTCCCATCTAGGGATCAGCAGGGGTATGGGAAACCCTTGAGGGTAGGGGTAGGGGTTTGGATCTGAAGACCCCTGTACCCCTGGGAATATACCTCCAAATTGATTACCATAGGAGTGATGGATCAGTATAAAATTTTGAAGTTGTACATGTGCCTTCAAATGGTAATATATGTGATTGGAAAAAATGTTACCATGGGGTATACCCATGCTAATCCCTACTCCCTACTCCCTACTCCCTACTTCCTACTCCTGTCTCCTGTCTCCCGTCTCCCGTCTCCTGTCTCCTGTCTCCTGTCTCCCGTCTCCTGTCTCCTGTCTCCCATCTCCCGTCTCCCGTCTCCTGTCTCCTGTCTCCTGTCTCCTGTCTCCTGTCTCCTGTCTCCTGTCTCCTGTCTCCTGTCTCCTGTCTCCTGTCTCCTGTCTCCTGTCTCCTGTCTCCTGTCTCCTGTCTCCTGTCTCCTGTCTCCTGTCTCCCGTCTCCCGTCTCCCATCTCCCATCTCCCGTCTCCCGTCTCTGTTCTCTCAGTCTCCCATCTCCTGTCTCCTGTTCTCCCATTTCCCCATTTTCCTGTCATCGCATTCTCTGGTTTTTGAGTCTACATTGTCTTTGTCTCCTTTTTTTATTTGAATCTTATCTCCTGTCACCACATTTGTTATCTCCCTGTCTGTAATTGTATCATATGTTGTTCCATTTATGTACATATACAGTCACTACTAATAATTGCAGTAGGCAAAACACTCAAATCCTGTTGTCCCCCTGCTCAAACACATTATTTAATGCCATGTACACATACAGTTACCAATGTTGTTGCGCAACATTCCCAATGGGTGACGTTGTTTGAGTCGCCGCTCGAAATATACATGAAAACCACGCGAGTTTCCAAATCGAGGTTAAGCGAGGTAAGCGAAAACCACATGGCCTTTGGCGAAATACGCGAAATACGCGCAAACCACGCGAGCGCGCGAAAGTTCCCGAAACCGTTCTACTTTACTTCTTAGATTAGATTAGATGCCTCACAGGCGACAACAGTGCCAACATGTCGCCCACATCGAACTTGCTGGAATGTGAAGCTCTACTTGAACCCGACCAACACTATCCCTTGTACATCACTGCCAAGAAGTACTGGCTACCGGAATTTGAAGCTCACTGGAACGATGAAGAAGCAGTCACACTTGTTTTGCTCCATTCAACCAGCTTTCACAAGGAGACTTGGCAGCCTACCCTGGAACGTATCTTCCAGTGTTCTTCAGCTCATTCATCCAAATCGTTGAAAATCAAATGCGCATGGGCAATTGACTGCCCTAACCATGGTGTATCTGCTGCTCTCAACGATGACGCACTTCAGCAGGCACCTTTTTACCGCACCTGTGAGTCCCAAGTTTGATTCCGCGATAACAGACGAACAATTGAACTGGCAAAGTCGGGTGCCGCAGATATGCAGATGCGGTCCATAGATTTATGTCTGCTGGACCAAGGTTCGGACCCATGTTTGACTTCCGAACCCAGCGTCTTGTCGGAATAGGCCATTCTCTTGGTGGAGTTGCTATGTTAGCCTTTTATCCTTCACAACTTGTGCGCTCTCGATTCACAGGTCTTGTGCCAGAACAATCTTGCAGAACCTTGAACCGGCCTTCAATTTTTCTTCTGTCATCCTCGTGGAACCCATGCTCAGTCCAACTGCGGAGGCTGTGGAGCCATTGCGCCGTATCCTCATTAAATATGCATACGAGCGAAGAGATGTGTGGTCTTCCAGAGAACACGCGTACCAGGATCTGAAATCAAAAAGGCGATGTGAACGCTGGGACCCGCGCGTCCTGGATTTGTATATCGTACATCCTCTTGTCATTCTGTTAAATTGTCACCCTAATGACCTCGTAGAAATTTGGACTCCGGACTCACCCAGGTGCGCGTCACCTGCAAGCGCCCTACGATGGTATCAGCTTAGCATGTTCACGTGATGAAGAGGTGGTACGCGACCAAAATCCCCAGTGAATTGTCAGCCCCACTGAGCTCCACTTTCAGACGATGTACAGAGAACCAGACGGTGCAACCAGACCGGTGCAGGACTTGGACAAGATTTGCCCACGCATTCCCGTCAACATTGTGTTTGGAGACAACAATGAATACATGTACGCAGTTCCTACAAACACAAGCTTGATCCTTGACGGACAGATATGCGGTGCTGTAGACCCCGCGCAGTGCAGGATGCCTTGATTGATCCGGCTTCGGGCAGGCGTTTTTCCTCTGTCACACGAATCAACGGAGCAGGACACTTGGTATGCAGCTCAATCACTTCTGACATCAAGTAATTAACTTTTACCAGGTGCCTCAGCATGCACCTAATCAACTGGGAGAACAGATATTCGATATTTTGTCCACTGCACCCTATCTCACACCATTTTCCAGGCTATAATTTATCACGCCATCTGCGTTGATTGGACGCAGTTGGTTATCGATGACAGAGATACTCGGACAGCTTCCAGTCTCGCCCATTCACCCATTGGGCTGCCATCCTCACCGACGATACCTCTCCAATGTAGTAGCCTGCCTGTCAGGGCATCCCATTTCACAAAATTTTCGTCGAGCCCCATACTCGCCTGCCATAAGTCCTCGACAATACCACCCCACGCACGCAGGGGATCGGGTACTGGTGGTTGAATATGCAACCCATGACCGTGGTACGGCGGCTTAGAAGGGATGGCAGGTCCGTTGACCGAACTAGACTTGCTGAAATCTATGCAATGCTCCAGTTGCTCGAGAATGCCAATTACCACCCTGAAAACATCTGACAGATGAAAAATTGAGGTCTGAGACGCTAGACTTAATCGTAGCGTGACGCGAGCGGCTTGTTGAAGAATGGGGAGCGATGGCGCTGCAGGACAAGAGAATGAGCTTCAAGCCAGAGCGAAAGCAAGGCCCATACCATTGCAATTCTGTAAAACCAGCGACAAGCATCTGCACAGAGCATCTTGCCACTGACCGTTCGTAGCCCGCTGCAGTTTCGCAGTATTGGCTGTGGTCAGAATGTTTTCAAGGATCTTTAGCCAGGCAAGAGTGTCTTCGTTGATGTGTGGTATTTTTACTTGCATCTCGATCCAGGATAGAAGAGATGACTTCAAAACGAGAGAAGTCGTTGCCTGGACATTGGAAGTCAGGTTGGCGAGCACCTGCAAAATAACTTGAATCAAGGGTTGATGAGAGTGTGACACTACGGACCTCCAGTACTGCGCGTCGTAACGCTTGATCGCGAACTGAGCTCTGCACAAGACTGGAAAGAAGATCCCATGTATGTCGACGTTTAAGCACCTTCCAATCTTCTGTACTCATCATGCCGTCAGAAAGGAACCTAACGATCCATCCACGCTCTTTCTTCCAGTTATCCGAACTGCCATAAAGCATGCCATATAGCATTGGCACATCAGTCACGTCGAGTTCTGGGCGCTGAAGAAGGAAACGCGCCGTGCGTGGGTAGATAAAATTGGAAGGATAAAACACCCCACGAAGAGCGTGAGATAGGATCAACGATGCAAACGAAGGTAACCGTAAGGGAGGACCATCGGATGAGGGCTTGATAAGATTCTTCAGGAGGTTAAAGATGTACAGCGCGTGCTGCTTTTCTTGCATTTCCGAAAGCTGACAAGGAGTGAGCAACCTAATAGCGAATAATAAGATAACACACGAACCTCTACAGATTTCCACACCCTTGCCAACAAACCAAGCGAGGCTTCACGAATCTTTTCATCTTTTGCAGACAAGCAGCGGATAAGCAAACTAAAAACGTTCGATCGGAACGTCTGCACCCATTCAAGCGACGAAGTTGGAGGATGATGCGTAAGCATTTGGGCAACGAGCAAAGTTACGAATAAGGGATCATAAACCTGCTCATCCAGGCCAACCTTCTCGTCCTCCTGTTCGTCTGACATACGTCTCCATATCGGGAACACATGACAGGTTCTCAACATGCGTATAGGATCCATGTTTTGTACTGCATCAAGCTGGCTTGAAATAGATATACCAGGGGAAGGTGACCACTTGACGAGAATAGATGATATAGGCGTCAGCCTTTCAACCTCGAATAAACGGAAAATGTTCAATAGGTTTCGATCTGAGGCGGAGATGGTTCCGCCGTATATGCGCACGAGTGGCATGATATGTGAAGGCTGACATGTGTTAGTGGGGTGGAGTCGGAATAGGGCAGCGATAAAACGGATGATAAGATCTCTTCGAGATGACTCTTCAGAACCACATAGTTTAAAGAACTGAGGGTGTTGAAGTATATTCTGCAGAGTTCGATTCACAACGACGGGCTGAAAACATCCATATTGAGCCCGAAGCCACGCAAGATGACAAGGTAAGATTACCTTAAGAGGCGAGCACTGCAGTAAGGCAATGCCAATATCGAGAGCAACAGTATCGGCAAGTCGATTCTGAATGATAGTAGTCAATAGAGGCTCTACGAAGTATGTTTTTGCCTTTAATCCTTGCTTGGCAATTTTCGCTGCCAAGATGAATTAGCCAAGGTACATGAGAAGGCCATTCAATCCGACTCACTTAATTGGGCTAAAATCAATTGGTCCTCTTCATCTTCGCCCTCAGGGCCAGAGAAATGGCGCACAGCCCATTGCAGTGCACGCTCAGATAAATCTGTCACGAGATCGGCCAGCGGGGAAAATGATTGCAAGCGAGAGGCAATGGATACGCTTTCGAGGGCGAATTGGTCGACAGCAAGGCGTTGCATATTCTTCTGTAGCAGGCTGGCGAGCTGTTGCTTCCGAGTTAAATCTGCCTTGATTAGGATGCAGATGCAGCGGATGCACAACTGTCTCAGGCCCTCAGGGTGACGACGCTGAGGCAACATACGATCAAAGAGGGCAATCGTAACGGTATCATGAAACAAATCGATGGCGTCACCACCCAGGGAATCAAAAACAGCATGCACTGCTGGTAACAGATGCTCAAACGGAATGGTCGTCCAAGCTCCCGAGTTGAACCACGCGACAAACTCCTTTGCAACACCGGATTGTGCATAAACCAGCCCGGACACAATGCGTGACGTAGATTCCGTCCAAATCGCCTTTTGAAACAGCCCCGAGACGAAATCAGAGGGCAGCACGCCCAATTGTGAACTTCCGGAAGCTGGCAGGTATCGAGGTGATAAGGAAAAGTTCGATGTCTTCGCTCGTGGATGCCGCCCGTCATGGCATGGCGGAAGATGCGAAGTCACTGCAACAGCAATCATTTCTTCGAGCACCTCGGAGTCAGGCAATGCCCGATATAACCTGAGGAGCTGCGAAATAGGGATCCTCGAACTAGCACATGTGAAAGAACCCCTCAGGGTATCGAGGGCAAATTCCAGAACCTCCAGCACAGATGGCGTAAGGTTAACGTTATTGGCATCGCACGCCTGATCAATGATGTTAAGAAGATTGTTTGGGTCTGTATAACGTAGCCATAACTTGATGGAACGTCCCTGGAGAAACATTAGCAACGTGAATACTCATGTATGGAGTTATCATACCGTCTGCAGTGATCCTGACCGAATCGATGCCTTGAAACACTCCGTCCAGTACGTACAAATCGAGGAGACCATTGTCCTATCACCCTCACTGCTGGGGTCAAGAGACACATCGAGAAGCGCACATAGAGCTGCTTAAACAATTAACGAAAGAGCGCAAAATCGCATTGAGAACATTACCTTCTTGCATGGCATCAGGCAGATCTCTAGACATGCTCAGGCCATGGATAGATGGTGCCCTCAATAGGACAAACTCCTTCAGCCGAGCGCCATCTTCCTTTGAGAGTTCACCGAGTGCCCTCTGCATGATCGCGGATAGCAAAAGCAGCAGATCGCACACAAGAGATTCCCGTTCCATGATCGAGCAGATATCATGTGCGATGATGCAAACGGCATGTTCAATCTGAACCCGCGCTGGTGATCGGAGAAACAGACACTCCAGCATGATTTCGCGGCATTGCTGGTTCGCCATGTCAGCTTCAGAGCTTTGCGTGAACATCCAATCAAAGGAAAGCCTGTAAAGCATTTAGCATTCACAACGAGGCAGGAATCAAGGGAAGGCAGGTGACATACACTTGGAGGAGCTTCCTTGAGGCAGTCTTTAGATCACCGCCTTCCACATCAACGAATTCGCGGGTGGAAGGTTCTCGAATAGATCCTTGAGAGCAGGAGGATGGAAGCGTTCGACCACGACCGAAAGTCGGACGATATCCTGGGGCTGAAGTGTGGTATTTACGAAGCGCAACCAGTCAACAAGTTCGTATGCGTTGTGGATGCGTGCACTTGAGCTTTCAGCTAGAAAAACGTAGTCAATTGCCATCGCAGTGATATATACAGGCTGTACATACGCAAAGGTACTCCTTCGATTTTCGTCAGGAAGTCTTCGACCTCTGGACTCGTGCTAGAGTCCGAGTGTCTACGCACTCCTTGAAAATGACTGAAACACGTGTGCATGATCGACATTTCACGTCGGATCGCAGCGGTAACGCAAGCATACTTGGAAAACAAGTT